CAGCTTTCCAGCGCTGGAGAGAACTCAAGGAGCGGAGGCCTGCGATCGGACGCCGAGGTTGCTTTGTTTCATCTCAATAGGTGAGTAACACCGTGTCTACAACAGCTAAAGTCTGCCTACACTGGATGCGATCAAACGACCATTAAAAACCATTTGAAATGTGTGTCAGCACGTCATAAATAGAACCCGGCAGCAGTTCTCTGTCGGGGATTTGTTGCACCGCGCCGCTCACGTCCGTAGACACTGTGTAACATTGGTTTTGCTTTGTTTCACAGAACTAATCATTACCTGGGTTGCGTACGCATATGTGGGGCGGAGCTATCAGAATAGGGGCAAGACCCTTTTGGGGTAGGGGCGTGTTTGTTTTGGTGATTTCAAATATCAACATTGGCTACCAGAAATCACTTACTCTGCCTTTAATGTTATTTTATTCAACTGTTTTTTTTTGTTAAATGGTAGAAATGAAGATCAACCAAGATTAATAAATGCTGTAAAAGTTGATTGTTAGTTTATGATATACCTAACGCATCAACTTATATTAACAAATGAATCCTTATTGTAAAGTTTTATCCAAGTAATGAATTATTTCCCTTACACTTTGACTACACGTGATTGTACACAGTTTTAAAAATATTTTTAAGTATACAAATAATTTATAATAGTGATTATAGTCTAGATTTTTTTATATGAATCATTAACTGATACATATTCACCACATGATGTTTTACAACCTGGACTGAACTTTTCCTTGTCATGATAACATTATGATTGGCCATTTCTGAAGTGTGTGCATTATTTTTTGTTGGTTGCAACATTCTTTTAATGTAAATTGTGTCACGTGGGCTCTCATTTCAAGACACTCAATACATTCTGTATCTTCTATATTTTTTGTGTAATTATAATGTATGTGATTTCATGCATATTTACTAACAATAGCACCACGTGCTCAGTTGATGCATTTCTTTCCACACCACTGGAGCTCAATCCACCAAAATAATGTTCTTTCTGTATCCTAAAATCTTAAGGTAAGTAAAAGGTAAGTAAAATAACTGATTCCAGCTCGAGGTACAAAATGCTAGACAAGCAAATCTGAGCCAAACTGGTTTGGTTAACTTCTTTTGGGGTTGACAGACTTGTTTTGTTTTTCCCAAAAACAAGTTAACACAACTTCACTACACAATTAGAGATAAAGAAGACATTTTCAAATAAGTTTCCAAAACAGAAAAAGTAACTTTCGCTCAGTCAGCACACAGTGCGTAATCTCAAAAATGCTTGATGTCTGAAGGCCTTACCCAGAATCATGGACATGGTCTTCATGAGGCTGATAACAGTCTGATTGTTGGAGGGCTGATCCGTGTGCGGGGACATTTCTCGGCTCCGGCGGCGAACGTAGATGAAGATGTGCGTGTAGACGGCCACCATGATGAAGAAGGCCATGAGGTTGAGGATGGCCCAGAACACTAGGAAGCTGCGGGAATACAGCGGCGCTACCGTGCAGCAGGTGGACGGGTCACAAACACAGTTCCAGCCCATGATGGGCACCAAACCCATGAAGACTGCCACCAACCAGATGGTGAGTATCAGCATCACCACACGCCGCCTGGTCATGGTGCTGTGGAGCTGCATGGTGAAGATGGTCTGATGGCGTTCCACTGCCACTGCCAGCAGGTTGACTACAGATGCGGTCAGGCTCATGTTGATCAAAGCTCCACGAATAAACCACTCTTTGATGGTCAAACCGATGGTCCACGGCCCCGTGTGGAACACAAGGTAGAGATACGAGATGCCGGCGAAGAGGTCCGCGGCCGCCATGTTCCCAAGTAAGTAATAAATGGGATAGTGGAACTGTCGGTTGATGATTATGGCCACTATGACCAATATATTTGCCAGAATAATAAAGACACAAATTGGGAGCCCGAGACCAACCACGATAAAGTCATGAGGGCGCCAGCTCGAGCTGATGGGCTTGCCAATCTTGTTGTAGAAGAAGGACACTGAATTGTTAAAAGCCTCACAGGTTGAATTAAATAACATTATTAGAGAAGTAGTTCATGTAAATCAGTTGAGCAGTTCAGTTAAGTTTGGCCTGCTGCTGTAATCCTGATGTGATCAGCTGCCATTGGAAATAATGCTTTTACATATATCACAAATGTGCCAGTGTTGCTGCTTACAAGAAGTGTCTTTTATTGTTTTCCAACCCTAAAACACAGGAAGACGCGAGGACAACAACATTACGTCCTTATAAGTCCAACAAGTTAATAGGTTCATCTTTAACAAGAAAGTAGAGGATATGATACCAATTAGTCTTTTAGACATCGTTAAGCTAGATTTGATTTCACCGCAAACGAAGTAATGAAGTTTAGCCTCCCGTTACTATTCTAACTGCATAGTTTATTGCTTAAACACGTGAGTTTGTGGAATAAAAGTGAAAAACAGAACGAGAAATGAAATTAGTTGTGGTTACTGTTACTTCTTATATTCAATGAGAACTGGACGCAACAAATCTACTCAGAAACACTAACTAAACTACAGTTTGGCTCGGTTGTCAGCACAAAACCAACAACAGTTACTTTCTTCTAAAATGACACTAGGACGAAAAAAACACTTACCGTTGCCAGAGCTTAAGAGCAAACACACATAACAGCAGCTTGCCCGTGTGTCAATGTTTTGGCGCTCGCCGGAAACACTTGTCTGGGTTTGGCGGAGCTCGTGGAGAAAGGGAAAGAAAGATGCCCTTGCTTGTACGCCTCCCTGAAACCTGATTTGATGAAATCACCGCCCGAGGATCCAATGAACGCGAGACTATTGTTCAAACCCGTTGGTGACATATTTAAAAAGTAAATATTTCAATTCACTTCCCAGAATCTGCTGCAGTGTATGGCAAGCCGTTTTCATATTTATTCCTTAAACCATGTGACAACCACTAGATTTCATGTCCGTTTCAATAGACAGTAATTATTCGTAACTATTAGAAAATCAGTGCTATTTAAGATTTTTTTTAAATAAAAGAATATACAATAATAGTTACTATACAATACTAACTTTTTAAGGGAATTATAAATAGACATTCTGACTATTCATTGCATATAATTAAAGGTGCAGTAGGAGATCTTAGCCTGATAGCACTGAAAGCAAACATCCCACCCTCCCAGCAATCGCCGTCCAAAGCCACTCCCACTGAACGCATATGCGCTCACAGACCAGAATACCAGAGACAACATTACTACAATGGGCTACATCAGCGGTTCCCAATTTCAGTCCTTGCATTTATTTATAGAGGTATATTATGTCACACTTCACACTTCTCTAGTAAGTTTCGTCTGTGTGTGAAGACGCTGCGTAGCGCAAATCCGTGAATGAATGTTCCGAAGTGAAGTAAACTTCAATGGATTTCCCCTGCTCAGGGAGTAGGGAGCAGGGAAACGCTGGGCTACATCATGTGTCATTCACCGGTGAGAAAACTTTATAGTACAGTTAGTAAAAGTACTACAATACTTGGAAGGAAGATCGGGTTGTTGATGTTTTTCTGTCATTCTCGCTCTGTCTGCACAGCGTGCGTGAACGCACTGATGACGTATCCAGTCTGCGCGAACTGGGTGCGCAGAGGTATGCAAATACATACGTTGACAGGCAGGTAGGAAAGCCAATTTAAATGCTCGGACCGAGCGTTTTGATTGGACGAACATTTCTTGGTCCTACGCCTTGCGCAGAATACATAAATACATTTAGACCACTTAACTTGATTGCTATCGGGATTTGAAGAGACTTTCAAACAGCATAACAAAAAAAAATTCTGAAGACAATCACCTATTGCACCTTTAACACAGGTAAGAAACTGGGAAAGATAGTGTCTCCTAATGAAAAGTTGGAAGTAAAAATGGGATTAAATACCGACGACAATTGGAATACACAGTCAAAAGTGAAAAGTTGATATCTTAACCACCGACCCTCGTGGAATTCAATAGCAAAAATGTAAAAAATTAAATGTTACTTGTTACAATTTGGATGGTGACTAATTTAATAGATATGCTTCTTGTCATCACTATTGGAGAAAATTATTATAGTTTTAATAAATGTATTAGCTTGCCATATGAGGTGAAAACATAACTAAAGCGGCAAAGAAGTTAATTTAAAAAATGTTTTTGTGATTAGGGCTTATTAAAGAGTTCACCACAAAATGTATTTTCATTTAGATTTATTTGTACATGGCAGATAAATTTAGCAGATTGTCCTGCTTTGTTGCATACAAATAAAATGGATGTTTAGACTGTCTGGCTCTGAAATAATCATATAACCATTAAAGTATCATAAACATACCATAAAAATATTACAAAAGTATCACAATAGTCAGTATGACCCATGCACTATATTCAGTCTAACAAAACCATATTTTATGCAAAAAACAGACTACTCAAATTAAATTTGAGCTACAATTAGAAATGGATGTTGGCAATGACTGACAAAAAGGGTCTCAGGAGAATGTTAACTGCTTTTTGTAACAAAGGTTACTATTTTTAATTGTGACATATTATAATCATTGAGTTCAGTATGCAGCCTCCTCAAGAATCAGGGATTTTCTCAAGGAGAATTTGTTTATTGATGTCACTAATGTTGGGATAATTCAACACAATGAGCATTTTGATGTGGTTGTACAATTTAGTACAGACTGTAAAACATGGCAGGCTACACTTCTGGGTAATTATGTTGGATGTTTAGTTAAACAGCACACAGGAAAGACTTAAACTGAAGATCTCATAAAAGGCATTAATATCTAATACATGGAAGAAATATGTAAAAGTTGAACTTATAATTTAACATTTGGAAGAAAACTTTGCATATACCTATAAATATTTCCTAACATAATGATTCATACAACATACATTTTCTCCCTCGCCCATGTGAGACAGTTTACTGAACAGATTTCAAACCAAACAGGGAGTTTTTTTATATTTATTTTACTTCATTTAAGACAAACCAGACTAAATGAAGTAGTTATTTTGTCAGTGAAAACCAGAAACCTTGATAGAGCTAATAACTCAAAATAATTTCTTCATTGCATCAAAGGCAATCATTGATTGTGTTTTATTATGTCTTTATCCAGAACGAAGTCCCATATGAGTTTGTTGACTTTCTCAGGTTGATCTTGCTGAACCCAGTGGCTACATTCGGGAATAGTGTGAATGACAACCGGACCCCTTACATAAGGCCGTGTACCACCAGACATGCCCTCAACCAGTATATTGTCTGCCTCACCCCAAATTAACATGCAGGCCACACTGACATCCTGATCCTTGTACAGAGTGTTACTGTAGAAAGAGAAGTGCATAATAACCACCTAAAGCAATATACCACCAATGACCAAGTAGTTCAGAGGGCCTATGAGCCCCCCGGGCTGGGACAGCCGGTATAGGTACCCCTCCAGCTGGGTCTCAGTTACATCTGTAATTAATCTCTGTAATTACATTTATAATTACTGTTGACCCATCCCTTACACCTTAACCCACCCTTAAACCTACCCATACCACCAAACCTGTCCCTAACCTTACCCGTATCCCACCTCAATAGCAGCAAAAGTCTTTTGCAATACAATATGAACACAATAAGTACATTGTACTTTTTTTAATGTAAGTACATAATAGTTAAGGCCACTTAATATAAAGTGGGACCGATAATTCTGTGTATGAATTATATGTAGGCCTATGTATGTAGAGGATGATAATCAATATTAGAGTGCCACACTCAAGCTGAATTATGCAAGGACACTAGACCTCTGCCAAGTGTGTTCTGCATGTGTTGAACTGAAAGTAGAACTGCTATTAGCAGTTAATCATTGGTTAAACATATAACCTCCGGTACGACCCAGAATCTGCCCAACCTAAATTTATGGCCAGGGGCCGCTACTATACATTTGTGATATAGTCAAAAGTACCCAGTTAATCGATGGTGTCTCTGATGTCTCCACAGCCACGCAGATCTAGCGCCACCGTGTGGTAATGACTACTGAATTCCTGTAATTGGTAACGCCAGGAGCAGTGTTGGGGAAAGTTACTAATGCATTACAATATTGCGTTACTCCATAAAAAAGTAACTAATTACGTTACTTAGTTACTTTTTATGGAAAGTAATGTGTTACGTTACTTTTGCGTTACTTTAAAATCTGGACAGGGCTCAAAGTTATATTTTTTGGCAAATATAAAAGCCTTTTCACACCAAAAGTGAAATGACTAAGCCTCAGGCTGAAGGGAAAGTACATTTACGTCCGTACAGAAGAATGCAGAAGAAGACATTTCAACACACTTCAGCAATAAAAAAAGACCCACAAATGTTTGTCTAGAGTAACTTTTGCTTATTAGTATGATTGAACTGGATCATCGAAGGTCAGAAGCAAAGACATTGGTTAATAGAATGGGATTAAATACATAAAGGATATTTGTGTTGTTTAACATTTAATTATTGCAGGTTTACGTCATATTCTGAGTTGCATTATTTTTATTCATTTTGAGGAATACTGAATCTGTGTGGGGGTTTTTTTGTGAGTGAGATGAATTAATGCATATTCATATTTATTTTAGAGCTACAGTAACATCTTCTGATTTCTCTCAACAAGGGGACAGGAGAGCCGTCAATCAATAAATTGGTGAAAAAAGTAACTTGCGTTACTTATTTGAAAAAGTAACTCAGATATTCTCTTGTAAATTAAAAAGTAATGCGTTACTTTACTAGTTACTTGAAAAAAAGTAATCTGATTACGTAACTCGCGTTACTTGTAATGCGTTACCCCCAACACTGGCCAGGAGTACTTGCAGGTCATATATTTTATATAAATATAAAACAATATAATATAATATATCCAAATTGCAACAACATTCTGATATAATATAATAAAAGAATAATCAGTAACAATATTTCTGAAACGTCTGAATGCGTTCACAAAACAATACGCAGAACGCTTTACGAAACTTACTGCATCAGATCTTCAATACAAAATAAGCAGAGAGAATTATTAAAGGAGGAAGTAATCAGTTTTCGGGAGAAACCATGAAGAAACAGCATTAGAGGCTTTCTGTGGTCTCCTTATGTTACATAATGAAACCTCAAGCCTGAGCTGTGAAGGGTAAAAAAGACCAAGAAAAAGATGTCACAAAACGAAGTCAAATCATTGGAGGTACTGACCAATATAAAACAATATAATATAATATATCCAAATTGCAACAACATTCTGATATAATATAATAAAAGAATAATCAGTAACAATATTTCTGAAACGTCTGAATGCGTTCACAAAACAATACGCTGAACGCTGAACGCTTTACAAAACTTGCTGCATCAGATCTACAATACAAAATAAGCAGAGAGAATTATTAAAGGAGGAAGTAATCAGTTTTCGGGAGAAACCATGAAGAAACAGCATTAGAGGTTTTCTGTGGTCTCCTTATGTTACATAATGAAACCTCAAGCCTGAGCTGTGAAGGGTAAAAAAGACCAAGAAAAAGATGTCACAAAACGAAGTCAAATCATTGGAGGTACTGACCGACTAAATAAATAAAACTTGTGAATACCTCGCCACTCTTTTCAATTCCTATTCTACCTATTTTAAATGAAATGAATATCAAACATTCTAAGTCGTGCATGTTTCTCAAATCTTTCCACATGGTGTAATAATGACACAATGTATTTAATTATATAGTAAAATGTATTATTTTGAGACTAAGCCCCACTTTCGATAATGATAAAAAAAATCATGGGTGTTATTTTCCAAAAATTGTTTAACCCTACAATACCATGCCCAACAGACCTAAGAACTAAAAACAGTAAACCGTAAAAACAGCATTAATGGTATGACCCATTTCAGGGGCGGCCAAAAGTACAATTTAAAATCAGTCAGAGCTGTAGAAATTAATCTTCATATTTACAAGTAATGCTTCACAAAAAATGCTTTTTATGACCCCTTACTTGTTAAATGTCTTTATGGGGGATCGAGTCTTGTAGATAGATAGATTTTTTTCATGAAAATAAGAAAATATAAAGATTTTTTCGGCGCTTTATTTAAATCGTACTATTTCATCACATGCTTGTATTGCACCGCTAACACCGATCATCACACAGCAAACGGAGGAGATCAGCGCTGAGCGGTTTTCGGTGATCTTTCGCACGTGTGACAGCAGGTCCTCACGTCCTGTGCGTCCTCCGCGCGCATGACGTCAGCGACGTCTCGAGCTGTTTGTTCTGGGTTGTGGGAGAGAGAAAGAGCCCGCGCGCCTTCACAACAAAATAACGGAGGTAAATAAACAAGCAGCCTTTACGCTTGTGCAAAGCGTTTAGCTCTTTTTAAAGGTACCAGCATGTGTGGCGTCGTTTTGTGCAACGGTCAAGCGCGCTAATCAGCGCTGAAATGATTGTCTGGTGAAAGCGGCCTGTGCGTCGCTGAGTGCTAACGCTAGCAGCTAGGAGAGACAACCCCATTCATGATAACGGGTCAGTTTGGATGTCATTTCGTTCTTGGGCTGGTTGCCTTTGCGTTTTAGCGACGAATTACCCCCTGTACATCAAAGAGAGCGGGTAACGTAGGGCTCTGAGGTTGTTTATTAGCATTAGGCCGTTTGCTGTCCAGTGCTAGCACAGAATCGCATCCCTGCTCTGCGCAGCGCGAAAATCTCACGTTTCGCTGTGCGGGAATGCTGGAGGATTTGGCGTAAAATTGAACGAGAATGCACGTACACGTTACGCACGGTCAGATTAGTCGGGTTCATGTGATCCGCGCTCGCTTCAAGCGTCTGACATTGACAGATGTGTATTAATCGCGGGCCGCGCTTGTTTGACGCTTTGGGGTGAGAGTGTTGTTTTGATTGCACGCATACACACTGATACATACACGACGCCGGACGAGTCCGTGTCATACACCGTTAGCATTGATAGCGGGTCCCGCTTTTAATGCCTGTCACAGTGTCGCAACCGCATTACGTTAACTCAACAAATGTTTTGAATGAACATGAACTCGTTTAATGGGACTATAATGGTGTGGCCCTCGGTGTTTTAGCGACTTTGAGCAGAAGGACTCATCTGAGCTGCCCGCAGTCGCCATTTTGTGTTGCTCCTCCGAGTAACGGAGAAACACACAACCTTTACATTTTGATTAAAAAAGGTGCGCGAGTCAGTACGTTAGTCATGTTTGAGTTGTATCTTTCCGCATTTATTAAAGTTACTATTTCGTACATTTTAAAGTGTGTTTTGTGAAAACGGCATCAGTTTGGAGCTCGTGGTCTCAGCAGTGTTATTAGCCTCGCAGCGCTTTCAGGTTGCGCTCAGATTTACTCTTGAGTAAATCCTCCGCTTTTGCAGCAGAAATATCAGATATATCTACTTATGGACAGGTTTAGACGTTCAGTATATTCAGTGCATTCAGTAAACGCTGTTAGTTATTCACCTGAACTTGTGAGCGAAGCAAATCTTCGCGTTGTGTGTTTATCTGACATGGACGTGTGATTGACAGCTGTTGAGTGACTGACAGGTTTCCCAGTGTTAAGTGATTTGTTTTTGTGTTCAGCTGTGAGTTTAGTCGTTAACCATATTTGCTTGCTTATTAAATATCTTTATGTTCGAGCTGAATTGGTGGTCAGGTTCAGCTTGTGACTGTGAAATTGTATTAAGGTAGGCAAATGGGGTTTATTGTATTGCAGATAACTTTGTGATTGACAGCTTTTCCCGTGTGCTTTGTCAAAGGGTTTTTAGAGGGTTATTATTAGAGAATTGAAATGTTACAATGGCTTTTAAAACTCAACCCAGGTGAGTACAGTAAGTCGTTTCTTTTGTGTAGATAGTTTTAAGCAGTCCTGCCTGGATTTTGCGATCTTTTGTGATTTTTTTGCAGTCAAAACTGACTGGTTTTGAAGCAGTAATTTCCAGAATTGAGGAAAATGAACCTTTTTTTAAAAATAATTGATACCACGTTTTCCATATTATGTGTAACATTGTATGTACAATAGTCATACGTGACAGTAAAAATGCAGAAATCTTGATTATTTTTGTCTTTCTAAATTCTAACAAATTTTTTACACGATTTTATTAGTTATTTTTGATCTTTTGTTTTTATTAAAATGAGAACATATAAGCAATTCATAAACGATAAATAGGGCTGGGCTAAAATGGCCAAAAATATTATCACAAATATTTTTTTTTTCCATTTTGTACTATTAATATTTTATCATGATATTCATGTACCATTAATGGGAGGGAAATGCTTTGCGCATGTTTGTTAGCCCTTGAGAATACATGTAATCATAACTCCAAGGAGTAAGTTACCTTTTAATTTAGAGCCCCGAAATGCATTTTATTTTTTCCTAAATTCTATTTTATTTAGCCTAGTTGTTTTTTTTTATTCTGTTTCATGATTAATACTAATTGATCAATTTATCATTAATACAAATTAAGTTTAATCAATCTCTTAAGATGAAATCAAATGAAAATATATCAATTGACAACAAAACATCGCATTTTTATTTTTTGTCTTAAGATGCTGCACAACAGAGCTGTATAAAAACATGGATGAAAAATATTTTGTTTGTATGATATTCCTTATTGTTATTACTTTGAGGAGTGTATTTCAGTATACAATAGTAATATTTCTGTATTACACAGTACTTTTTTTCTCAAATGAAATGACTCCTAGCAGCTCTGGAGATGAAGTTTGTGTGAACTGTCCTCATATTGAGGAGCAGATGCTGAAACGCTGTGAGCATCATATGTGTTTGAGTTTGTGTATTGATGAAACCACGCCACTCATTCACACACAGACACGCAGAACATGCAAAATTATTAGCCACATGCACTGACTGGCTGCAGTAACATTTATTTTCCGCCAAGCCCTAGGTCAAAAGATACAAAATAAATAGTGCTTTAACTTTTTTTAGTGTTCAGTTCCAGAATACTAAAGAAATTGAATAATCAAATGTAAAATAAAACGCATGCTAGTCCTCGCTGTATGAATTAGGAATACGGATTCTTCTTAAAACTACTAGTTAGGTCAAGAGCAGTGAGTGATTTAACCTTGTCTTTTGTTAGTTGGTTAAAGTTGGTATGAATCTGGAGTTGTGGAAAACTGCAGGGACTGATCAACTTAGCTTCTTTTATTAGTATTGACGAGTTCAATGTAAAGAATCAAAACATGTTGACTGACAAGTTAAAGCAGCTTTGCATTGTTAAAGGAATACTTCACCTAAAAATGAAAATTAGCTGAAAATGTACTCACCCCATCTGAGATGAGTTTGTTTCTTCATCTGACCAGATTTGGAGAAATTTACTGTTACATCATTTGATCCTCAGCAGTGAATGGGTGCCGTCAGAATAAGAGTCCAAACAGCTGATAAAAACATCACAATAATCCACACAACCCCAGTCCATCAGTTATGTCTTGTGAAGAGAAAAGTTGCGTGTTTGTAAGAAACAAATCTATCATACTTCAAACACGTGCTTCTGGCTAAAATATCCATAATGCATAATATTGCTGCTTTCAGTGGAAAAGTCATCTTGTCTGAATCAGGAGAGAATTATGCACAGATCAAGCCCCGTTTTACAAGTCAAAACCGTTGTAAACAAATTTGACTGATTTTGATGTGAGAGGAAAACAGGGAAGGACTTTTTTTATGCTGGATTATGGATTGGTATTTTAGTCAGAAGCAGTGGTTTAAAGTTAAAATGATGGTATTGTTTCTTACAAACACACAGCTTTTCAATTCACAAGATGTTAATTGGTGGACTGGAGTCACATGGTTTAGGCCTACTTATTTAGGCCTAGGTATTACTATAAATTTTTTAAATAATCGTGTTTAAAGTGCAAAAGTCCCTCCTGAAAAACTACATTACCCACGATGCTGTAAAGAGAATTTTACCAATTGCAAATTGCTTCAAGCCAGCACTGAGCTCTGCCCACTCCCTTGAAGCACTGCAAATGACACAATCGAGTCGATTCTCAAAACACTTAAATATTTGAATATGCAGATTTCAAGTGATTTGTCAAATATTGTTTCTATATATACAATCAACATCTTAAAATTGATAGTTTTATATTTTGCCATCGTTTTTAATGCATCGTTTAACATAGTTTTTAGTAGGGTTGGGTATCGTTTTTTTTTTGTTTTTTTTTCTCGATACCGGTGACAAATCGATACTTTTAAAACTGTTCTGGGGCCTAAACTGATACTTATTAAAAATAAATAAATAAAAATTCCCCCAAAAATGATGGACTGTCCATTAGCACTATAAACACATGTTTCATTCATACTGGACGCCAGAGGGCGCCCTCGCACAGAAAATCCACATATCCAGTCACAGAAGTAGTGGAACTCATGACCCTCCAGGAAATCCCTAATATGGACAAAGACATGGCTATTATAGATGTAACTGAGTAAACGGAACATATAAACTTTTTGAATGATAAAACAAAGACAATAAACACTCGACTGCGACA